ACCTCGTAAGATTAGCCTGGTCGCATAACTTTGAAATAATGGCTTAAAGATTAACGCACCTTATCAGTGGGAGGGTTTCCACGAAGGATTGCTGGATAATTTGGTGGGAAGGCATAATCATCATATTGACCAAAGTTAGACGCTGCATGCCCAACACTGCATATGAATATCACTGATGTCACTGTTTGTATGAGATCTTCCAAGTCGGTAAAACTACCATCCCCTGGTACGCCCTTTAGAAGACAAAGAAACACTGAATACAGAAATTAGCACGATCATTAGATTTCAATGGAACTTTGCATTTATCAATCTATCTGAGGATCAAAACATATAATCTTATACTTTAAAAAATTGTAAAATATTTAACTGAAATGAGACTGTTACAGGCGAAGACGAGGTCGGCTATTCTGCGAGGCTACGAGTCGTGCGAGTTTTAACAGTCTTGTGAATATTGATCATAGAAATAATGGGCAAGCAGTGAACCAGAGAACGTGGTCATCATGGATCTTACAAAAGGTGAGTAAATAAATTATATAAAGTGCATGTGTGTTGTGCAATGCGAAAATTAGCAGAGATTATAGTCAAAGCGTAAATGAGGCAAACCCTCTGACAATTTTCTTTCTGCGGCAGGACCTGCCTCGTACCCAGGCGTCTCTTTGTAAAAAAAACCAGCGATGCGCGTATGCCAAGTTTACATGAAGTATTGTAGTGACGACAGAAGGGCGAAGGGGCTGATGGGCCTTCGGGCGTCGCATGCCTTCCTGAATACTTCATGTATTATAATTATTTAAAGCGCCTGGGTACGAGGAAAAGCGCGTCCTAAAACATGAAACCACCGAAATGAGTTATTAGTTTACGCTTTCATTTCCATAAAACTGTGTAAATATTTTGTCCCATTTAGCACAAGAAAAACCGCTGCTATATATATATATAGCTTTATATTTAGTTATAAATGCGCTGAGACTTGACTGCATGGGTATAGTATAGAGTACCAATTTTGAACTATGTTCTCAACAAAAATGAAGTATATAATAAACCCGACCTAGCTGACTGTATTCTTTTCTCGGTAAAGTCTACAATTTCTATTGAGATCGCAGCGCGTTTTCCTTTAAAAACGAAGGCAATTTTGCAATGACATTGACACAACAACTTTTCGGCTATATAGAGCCAAAATCAGACCTACAGTATACCCTAAGAAAATGCCAGAGTGGCATGTTGTATAAAAAAACTTCAAACAAATTTTTTTCTCACATTAATTTTCAGGTTTAGGCCGGCCGTCTAAAAAACATAAAAGCATAGCAGTTGCAGTGACGCCACCAGGATTCTATCTTTTAAATAATTTGTTAGTCATAATTCTAGACGGATCAAGGGGCATATTCCACCGAAAAAATTTCCTGCACTACATCTGGAGGCACTTGGTAAAAATTTAAATGTTTAGATAAATCACCTTAATTTTCCCTTTTCCTATCTAATTTCATTGAATTTGAACGGTTCTAAAACTGCACTTTGATTTCGATGGGAATTTCAAAGGAATCAAATCATAATTTTTAATTAAACATTTTGTAATGAAAGAGCGAATGACGAGTTTAAAACATCCATTAATCATTATTCTATTTTATCCATCATTCCCCTCTGTATATTGAAATGTAGTCTTTGCCTACACGCGTAAAAAGCTCACATCTTGTAGCAAGTCTGCCAACAAGCCGTTAACATGCAGGTTGTGTTCGCATTGCTTGTCCCAAGTTGTCAACAAGTTTGGAACAAGCCGTTAACAACTTGCAACAACCTTGTTGATGCTATCAGACTTGTTGCAAGGTTGTTCCAACAAGTCCGATACAGTCATGATATAACAATATTGTTACAACCTTGTGTCGTCAACCTTGTAACATTCTTGTTTATCATGACTGTATCAGACTTTGTTAGAACAACCTTGTAACAAGTCTGATAATGCCATCACGTTTGTTACAAGTTGTTAACAGCTTGTTCCAAACTTGTTACAACAACTGGGAACAAGCAGTGCGAATACAACTTGTCAACAGCTTGTGAACAGATTTGTAACAACTTGATTGCAGACCTGTAACAACTTGTGCGTTTTTACGTGTGTACCTTAATACCGAGGCCTTCACCCTCATCTACCAACATTTTTCCCCACTCTTGAATCTCCCAGTCTTTCACGAGTTTTTGTGGCGTGTCTAAAGTTAAAAGTTCATATTACATAGAACACTTTACAGTTCAGAGAGACATGGACAACAAGTTAGGTTAATACTGTAATTCAGTGATTTAGAACTGATACGATAACAAGGGGGAAGGGATTATTTTAAAGAAATTTTATTACTGAAAACCCCCCATGAAATAGCAGCATGTCACATATATAGCGAAGGAGCGCTGAGTACAGCTCTCTAATCCAAAACAGGAAAATTTACGAATTTGTAAATGGGAACCTAAAAAATGGGACCCAACTAGCTGATGGGGAATTCCAAAAGACAGAACTTTTCGTGGGACTTGGGGGTCCTTATCAAGAAAATTTTCGTACTTTTAGCCTCCAGAGGTTGATTTCTTGCATTTTCAGACACAATTTTTTATTTAAAGATCTAAGATGCGAGACCAACATTCATATTGAGAGTTATATTACAAACGGTTTTAACCAGTGACCGTTTGAGTAAATCTTAACAAATGTTTACACATTTCATCTCGAAAGATTGAATATTAGGCCATATAAAATTCGCAAACCGCCTAAGCCCGTCCCAGTGGCGGGGGAAGTGCAAACACCACAGGCAAAACACGATTGAACTGTCATTGCATGCATTTTCTGGCATGCACCGAAGTGAAAAATGCATGCACCGGCTTAGCCCCCTGTGAAATCTGTGATGGGTATTGAAGCCCCCTGTTTAATTAAATTCACTTAAGGGATTTTCATTGACCACAATGTTGGTAATTCTGTCCATTTTGCCTTGTGGGCGCGATCAAGAATCTTCATATCACCGTCTTACTCTAATCGGGTTTTTTTCGAGGGAGGGGCTTAGCCCGCCACTTTCACTTCTCCTACTAATCCCCCTTTTTCACCGCCCATGGCCCACCCCCTTGTTGCTGAGCCCTGGGTTCCGAATCCCTGCTGTAATTCGCTTTCATGACTTTTTCCCAGTGAGTTAATGAATAAGGTTCTTGCTTTTTACCTCGTAAACCTTGTACGCTATAGTCTTCGCGAGTGTGAGTCAGAGGTATGATTTGTTGTATGAAACATACGCACACAGAGTCATCTATTATTAACCATTACTTTCTTTTCACCCGGTTGAAAAGAAGAAAAATTTGGAAATAATATTAATGGAATCTATCCTAGGTTTAAAAAAATTCTGGAACACTTACCATAGTGACCTTCGAGTACCTCGCGTACATAATCCCAGATGACGTGATGAAGTAGTATAGCGTCATCTCTGTATGGATAGTAAGGCAGAGCGTCATAATCATCCACCTGTTTAATAACAAGGAAAACGTTGGACATGAGAACTTCATATAGATCTGAAGACTGGCGAAGGTAGAAATTTCAATCATTGTAATGGCATCAAGTTTTGGCTACCCAGCATGTTGAGTCAATAGGAAAAAGACTTGCATTGAGCTTGTAACGCCCGAGACATTACCGCGCTGATAGTCATTAATGTCAAAGATTTGAAGGCGTTTATTCTGTATGATCTAGCAACTATAAACTTATCCATGAATCATGTTTGAATTGGGATTACATTTAGCCATCTTTCACAAGAGTATATCATAACCTAGTT